AATTCAAAAAGAATGGCATTGATAAACTTCATGTCCCACTTCATCTTTTTTGATGCTGCCGCCGAGGGCAGGGAGGACGGAGGTGAAGGAAGGCAAGAAGGATGTCGTGAAGGCGTTTTTGTATTTAGTTGGACTCCTTGGCGGCGACAATCTTCTCCTCACCCATGGCAGAGAGGACAGCGACGATCATGTCCACACCGTTCTCGACAGCATCCTTGATCTTCTGGGAAATCTCAGGCTCATCAGCGGGGAGCTTGATGTCCTCCTTGGTGGTGGCTGGAGGGAGGGAGGAGAGAAGAATGAGACTGATATGCATTGTGTTTGCAGCAATTTCAGGGAATCGAGATGGAAGGAATAATCACGTACAGCCATCAGCGGACATGAGGGAGACGAAGCCATCCTGGTCGACGTCGACGAGGGTGTACTCCTGACGGTTGATGATGGGCACCTGGAGGGTGTGGGTCGAGGGCGAGATCTCCTCGTACTTCTTGCCGTTGAAGATGTCAATGGCGGTGAAGTGGACCTTGGCCGAGCCGTGCTTGCCAGTCTTCGAGGTCGAGCAATCGACGACCTTGCAGGGACGGCCCTTGATGATCATGTAGCCGTTCTTCTTGATGCCCGAAGCCTGGGAAGGGACCGTCAGGGAAGCACCCGATCCAGTGTTCTCGAACTCTCCGTCAGACATTGTTGGATGATTGTGCGGCGATGTGGTACGGCTGACGGGCGAAGCGGTGCTTTGGCTGCGGCAAGACGGGAAGAAAAACAAGCCCGGTGGCTTGTGGCTGGCAAAGGCATTTCGGAGTTTTGCTCCCCCCTTTTTTCCTTCCACCCTTTTCAGTCGACTGTTTCCCGCCAAAATCCTGGCGAGAGCGCAAGACACACGCACGAGGGAAAGCTGAAGATGAGGGCTGAGAGATTGGCTTTGTGCACAAGTGCGAGTGAGTCTTGGTTTTGAGCCAAAGCTATGGCGCGAGGAGCCACGCCAGTCGTGCCGTGTATTCTTCGCTTTGTTTTCTATTTTATGAGGGGTCAACGCGGGGTCAAACCTAGTGCGTGACAGCGAGGCAGACAAAGGTGTCGACAAAGCCGAGCGGAGACGAAGTCACCGAGCGAGGGCTGCAGCTTTGTCTCTTCAGCAGGGAGTTGCGGCGTTTCACCTCTCTTCTTCCTTTTCGTTCGTTCACACACAGCCTCTACACGCGCGCTCGATCTTACATCGTCGCCGCCCTAGATCTCCAACTTAACACCCAGAGCGACACTCGATCGACTGGAAATCGACATCTAAATCCCCATTCTCACATTACACATATATTAATTATGTCGGAGAAGACACAAGCCAAGAAGGGTCAGCAGCAGCAGGGCGGTAAGGGCAAGCAGCCCGCCGCTGGCCAGCAGGACAAGGGCAAGGGCAAGCAGGGCCAGCCCGAGAAGAAGCCGAATGCCAAGGCCACCCCCGCTGCTGCCGCCCCCGCAGCCGCCGCTGCGCAGCCCCAGGCCGAGGCCAGAGCGACCAGCCCTCGTGGTGGTGGCCCCGCTGGCGCCCCCGCCGCCGCTGGTGCCGGTGGCAAGCCCGCTGCGGCCAAGAAGGTCAAGGTGGAGAAGGAGAAGGGCTCTGGCATCGTCAAGGCCGTTCTCTCGGGCGACCGCATCGAGGTCTACGTGGATGATACCACCAAGCGTACCACCTGGGTGCCTCCTCAGACCAAGGAGCTCAAGCTCTCGAACATCAAGGCTCCTCTCCCCCGCGCCGTGGCCAGGGGTGACTTCGCTGGACGTGAGGAAGAGGTACGCGTACAACTTCTGAGATATCTATCTATCTTTCACTCTATCTTCGATCGTGACCCCACATTGGGCAGCGAGATGGAAATTTGACACTGAAATTGGCCTCTGCGCTACACGCAAAGCGAACGTTTTTTTCACTCAACCCGTCGTCTCTCCTTCTCCAGCCTTTCGCCTTCGCCAGCAGGAGCTTTCTGAGGGAGCTGTGCATCGGCAAGCGCGTGTCGTGGATCATCGATGGCAAGGATGCCCGCCGCGAGTACGCCACCGTGCACATCCAGGGCGAGGCCAAGTCGCTGGCCGAGTCCGTCGTCGAGGCCGGCCTCGCCGACGTCTCCCTGCCCCCCAACGCCGCCAAGGAGGCCGCCGCCAGGCCCACCGCCGCCGGCGACGACGAGGGCGAGAAGAAGGAGCGCCGTCTCTCCGAGGCCATGCAGAAGCTGGTGACCGCCCAGGAGGAGGCCAAGTCGCACGAGCGCGGCAAGTGGACCACCTCCAAGGACGAGCTGGCCAAGGCCGTCCCGCGCTACGCCACCGACTCGAACCCGACCGACTTCTACACGCGCAACAAGGGCAAGAAGCTGCCCGCCGTCGTCGAGGCCGTGCTCTCCGGCTCCATGCTCCGCGTGCTCCTCGTGCCCAGCTACCGCGAGGTCGTCGTCCGCGTCGCCGGCGCCCAGGCGCCCGCCACCCGCCGCGGCCAGAAGGAGGAGGACACCGAGCCCTTCGCCAAGGAGGCCCAGTGGACCACCGAGCGCTACACCCTCCACCGCCGCGTCCACGTCACCTTCACCGCCTTCGAGCCCGGCAAGGAGGCCGACGACAGGCGCCCCGCCGTCCAGCCCGTCTTCCACGCCGACATCGCCCTCGCCGGCAAGTCCGTGGGCGAGCTCCTCCTGGCCTCGGGCCTGGCCAAGTTCGTCGACTGGACCGCGCCCAAGGACAAGTCCGACGTCTATCGCAACCTCGAGGCCCAGGCCCAGGCCAAGAAGCTCCGCATCTGGTCCTCCCACGTTCCCACCGCCCAGGAGGCCGCCTCGGCCCGCAACTTTGTCGGCCTCGTCAAGGAGGTCCCCTCGGGCAGCACCCTCGTCGTAGTCAACGAGAGCGTGAAGCCGCCCCAGGTGGTGCGCGTGACCATGTCCTCCATCGACGTGCCCAAGCTCTCGGTGACCGAGCGCCCCGGCGACAACGCCCGCCAGGCCCCGAGCGAGGGCGCCAAGACCCCGGCCGCCAACGCCGCCAACGCCACCGAGTACGCCGAGGCCTTTGCCCTCGAGGCCCGCGAGTTTGTGCGACAGAAGCTCATCGGCCGCCGCGTCAACGTCACCCTCGACTACGTCCGCGCCGGCAAGGCGGTACGTGTCCCATCGTGTGTGTGTGTGCGTGTGCGTGTGTGCGTGTGTTTTGGTGCGGGGTGACCGAAAACTAAATTGTTTCCGCGCTGCTATGCACACGTACACACAGGGCGATGAGAAGAACCCCAAGAGCCTGCCCGAGCGCGCCTTCTACACGGTGTCGATGAAGGGCAAGAACATCGCGCTCGCCCTGGTCGAGAACGGCCTGGCCAAGGTCGTCGAGCACTTTGGCCAGCAGCAGCGCTCGCCCGAGTACGACGCCCTGTTCCTGGCCCAGCAGCGCGCCCAGAAGAAGAAGCTCGGCGTCCACGGCCCCGTTCAGAACAAGCACTACATCAACGACGTCTCGCGCAACCCCAAGAAGGCCAAGGCCGTCTACCCGACCGTCGTGCGCCAGGGCGTCAACCGCGTCCAGGGCGTCGTCGAGTACGTCATCTCCGGCTCGCGCCTCAAGGTGGCCATCCCCAAGGACAACCTCGTCATCACCGTCGCCCTCGCCGGCGCCCGCGCCGAGTCGGTCGCGGCCGCCGGCGACAAGGCCAAGGCCGGCGCCGGCGCTGCGTCGAACATCGGCGAGGAGGCCCGCAACTTCACCCGCGGCCTGGTCCACCACCACGACGTCGAGCTCGAGGTCGAGGGCCAGGACCGCACCGGCGCCTTCCGCGCCCACGTGTTCATCAAGCCCCGCGGCGGCAGCGCCGCGCTCAACCTGGGCGTCGAGCTGCTCAAGGAGGGTCTGGCCCAGGGCGCCCGCACCGAGCGCTACGCCGACGAGCACCGCCGCGCCGAGAACGAGGCCAAGGCCGCCCGCAAGCGCACCTGGGCCGACTGGGACCCCGAGAAGGAGGAGGCCGAGAAGAAGGCCCGCGACGAGGCCGTCGTTGCTGGTACGACGAACCGCAACACACACACACACACACACACACATGCACGCAGCAGCAACAACAACCGCTCATTTTGTCTTTCCACAGCCGGCAAGCCCCGCAAGGAGCTCGTGACGGTGACCGAGGTGGTCGATGGCTCGACCTTCTTCGTGCAGGTCGTGGGCGAGGAGCAGAAGCAGCTCGAGACCCTCATGGCCTCCGTGGCCGCCAAGGGCTACGAGAACGCCGAGCCCTACACGCCCAAGGCCGGCGAGGCCGTCGCCGCCCAGTTCTCGGGCGACAACGCCTGGTACCGCGCCCGTGTCGGCCGCGTGCTGCCCCCCGGCGAGGAGAGGTCTCACACCGAGGTAACACACGACACACACGACACACACGACACACACAATGCGATGACCCGATCGTTAACGCAACGCACGCAGATCGAAGTTTTGTATGCGGACTACGGTAACGCCGAGACCGTGCCCGTCTCGCGTGTGCGCAAGCTCGACCCCGAGCACAGCACGCAGGCGCTGCGCTGGCAGGCGCGCGAGGCCTCGCTGGCCTTCATCGTCCCGCGCCCTGTCGAAGACGACTGGGGCAAGGAGGCCGCCCTCTACTTCAAGGAGCTCGTCTGGGACAGGCAGCTCCTCTCCACCACCGAGTACCGCGAAGCCGACCGGTACGTGTCGTGTCGTGTCGTCTCATGTGTGTGTCATGTTGTGTGTCATCGCGCGTGTCGTGTGCTGACGGTGTGTGCTGTGGTGCAGTGAGTACCGGTCGCTGTGGATCTCGGACGACTACACGTTTGTGAACGCCGAGCTCCTGAGGGCCGGTCTGGCCAAGCTGCCCAAGAGGCTGCCGCGCGGCGCCAACAAGGAGATCATCGACTTCCTCCGCGCTGCTCAGGAGGAGGCCTTCCGCACGCACTCGGGCATCTGGGAGTACGGCGACGACGGCGACGATGACGACTTTGCCTACTAAATGCAGGGCCGGCCCGCGCCACCCGCCCTCCCCAGCTGTCGCGACGCGACCAGCCACAAACGCTTTCACGAACCGCTTACCCACCGCCAATGGAGGACCACACTGCGACAACGTTGTTCTTCTTTGGAGTAAAAAAACAACCTATTTAAATCTTTTTGAGACACTCACGCAACACGCGCACGCACGTGGCCACGACACGCGGCTCACTGGGGAGGGCATCAAGACTGGCTGTTGGCCAGAGCGTTGGTGAGCGAGGTGCGTGCGCCCGCCTTGTCCACCCGCCTGCGCGTTTTCACGGCCACGGGCGACACCGCCTCCCCGGCCTGCTCAGCCGCCAGCATCACCTTCGTCGAAGTCGCCGCCGCGCCCTTCTTCCCGCCCCCTGACGAGCCCTGCTCCATTAACTCCGCCATCAACTCCCCGCCTGTAACCATCATCACAACCACCACCATCACCACCATCAGTATTGTCACGACCATCATGAAGCGCTCAATAATGAAGTGTTCACAGGAAGGTGGTGGGACCTGAAGCCGGTTGGTCGTCGTCTGAGCCGTGCTGGTCGTGCGGTTGGGCGGAGAGGAGGCCGACGACGGCACTGCCCACTTCAGCGGCGCAGGTGCCGGCCGTGCTGCCCGCGTCTTCGCCGCCGTCGGAGCCGAGGAGGTAGATGGCGGCCATGGCCAGCAGGAGGCCCACCACCTTGGCCCACGTCAGCGGCTCGCCCAGCAGCAGCACCCCCAGCACGGCCGGCAGCGTCAGGTACAGGCCCGACACCGGACCCGCCACGCTCACGCTCACGCCCAACCGCGCCAACTGCCGCACACGCCACACACTCCAGAGTCAGCAAGGGGAGAGAAGAAGAGGTGGGTGCGTGGCGGGACCTGGTAGAAGGCGATGTCGGCGAGGGCGGCGGCGACGCCACTGAAGATGGCGAGGGAGCCGTCGCCCCACCCGAGCAGGGCCTCGGCCTCGTGGCGCGACCCCCCAGCCGCCGGGCGATGGCGCCGCTCCTTGCCGGCCTTCCTCTCCCCTCCACCGCCGCCGTGGCCCGCGCCATCGTCCTCGATGGCCATCAGCACCAGCGCCGTGCCTATGGTCATGCCGCTACACGAAGAAAAAAAAAGATAATAAATAAATAATAGCAAGAGCCAAGATATTCAAGTGTAGTGTTATGTAACGTTACACATGTAACAAACAAATTGACATTTTACATCAATGTGTAGCAACGTAACGTACAAAAAAAGAATAAAGGGTACAGAAAAAAGCTCATGAGGGGAAGTACACTGTGTTGTAGAAGAAGGAGTGGGCGTAGGGCAGATGGCGGCCTGCGCAGCCCATGAGGAACGAGGAACCGCCCCATCCCATCATGCAGGCGATGACCCACCACCACCAGACCCAACTCGACGCGGCCTCTTCCATCTTCTGTGGCCCTCAGTTGCAATTAAAATAAAATCGTCCATTTCTGCTGCATAGTGAAAAGAAAGGAAAAGAGCTGGCATTCCTGACATTCCATTGTTCGAAGAGGCCACTCAAACTTCGTGCACAAAGATGTGTCTTTGGCTTTCTGCTGTACCACACGAGCTGTAGGTTCAGGAAAAACTGCTGTGTGCGTTCATGATTAGCTGTGCGACTGTGGCCCAACCACTTTCCAGGTTACACCGCGCCTTTTACGGAAGTGCCCGCAACCAGCACAAAAGCGCGGTATCTCTGGGTTTTTGGCAGTTGCTCCATGACCAGAGCGCACACTCAGCTGCGTTGTTGATTCGTATGACCTCTTCCAACCTGAGCTGAGACTGCGAGCAGTCCATCCCACGCACTCGTACAACCCATCAACTCCCTTCCCTAACCAAGCCGAACGTGTCAGTGTGCCACTGAAGTGTCAACAACAAGGAAGTGCAAGTGCACGAGAAAGATAGAGATTGATAGATAGATAGTAAGCTCCTGACAGGACCAGACACTCTTAGTATACTCATTAGCGCAAGTATATAAAAGAGAGGCGGCCAGTTGTCGCCCACAATGTCCATCGCCAACGACAACATGTGGACCTCGACCACCAACCTCGAGGACTCCTCCCTCTTCACAACCGACCCCGCCTTCGGCCGGTCCACCGGCAGCGGCATCTACACCTCCTACTCGGCCGGTAACCATCTACTTTATCTTCTTCTTCTTCTCCACTTCTTCTTGTCTCACCACCACGAGCAGCGAGCGGGAAGGCGAAGGTGGCGCGAGTAGAGGAGGGGTGGAGCGAGAACCGGGCCTGTCGCCAGCGGTTCGAGGAGACCTACCCGCTGGTACTCATGAACCGACTTCACGGTGAGCCCCCCCTATGTGTCGTTACATAGCAATGCTATATTAGTTATTTTTTATTCTCTCTTTTTTCTCGAGAATTATAACAAAAACGGGGTTTGGGTTGCAGAGGAGGACTGGCTGGCGATCATTCGCAAGGTCAACGAGTTCTGGGGTGAGTCTCGTGTCATGTCGTGTGTCGTGTGTCGTCGTGTGTCGTCGTGTGTCGTGTGTCGTCGTGTGTCGTGGGGTGCTATGCGCGAAGAGTTGGGAAAAACTAACATTTTAGTGACAGGGCCAATAGTGGAGGAGAGTCACAAGCTGTGCAAGATGGACGGGCTGCTGTCGTACACCATCCTGTCGGTGCCCGTGCACATGGCCAAGCAGAGGCGCCTCGAACACGCCATCACCGCCGCACGCCGCCACATTTGCTCCTTTCTCGACAAGGTGCATCTCAGCAACCGTTCACAACCTCTCACGACACACGCACACACGGCACACACGGCACACGGCACACGGCACACAAGACGCACACGACGTACACGCACACGATACTCAGCTAAAGCACATTCGTATGTGGCAGATCAACGAGGACGTGCGGGATGGTCACATTAGCTTCGCGTTGAAGGACCAGGACGACCCGAGCGAGAGGTCCGGGGTCTTCATCGAGGTCAAGCGCTACAAGAACCCGCGCAGGTACGCCCAGTCCTCCACATTCCAATCATTATTGACGCCTTGCATTCCATGCATTCTCTGACCGCGTGTCGTGCCGTGTGCGGTCTCTCGCACTCATCAGAAAGGCTGGGTCGCCGACCAAGGCCACGACCGGGCCTTCCGAGTCGCCAGCCACGACAGCCTCATCGGGGACCACTTCGCCCTCGTCGGCTTCGGCGGGAAAGTCAAAGGCGAGGCCGCACTTCCTGAAGCGGGAGGAGAAGTGGTGGCACTTCTCCAACGAAGACATTCTGGCGGCCCTCGCAGAGCAGAAGTGTGGCGATGCCGATCGCCCCACCTCTCCTCCCCTGCCCGCCGCTCAGGTGAGCTCTCCTCCGCACCCCAAGTCACCCCGTGCTACATCGCCCGACGCGCCGAGCTCCAAAAATCGTACGTGGTGGCCTGGGCCTGTGTCGTGCCGTGTGCGGTGTTTTGCTAAAATGAATACACCAAACCACCAAAGGCAAGAAGCATTCGCCGTCGAAGGTGGCCGCACCGCCGTCCAACTCGGCGGGCAGTAGTAGTGGGAGCAAGCAGCCACAGGGCCGGGCACGCAGCAGCACGACCGACAGCAGCGACCCCACGCGCCTCCAGCCACACCACCTGGCAGCCACGCGGCACCCGCAGCCGACGTTCTCCTACCAGCCGCCACAGCCCATCCAGGGTCACCCGCACCCACAACTACAGCTCAACGGGCTCTACGCGGTGTCGCCCGGCCAATTCTACCAACCGCCACTACAACTACAGCCGCAGCCTATCATCGTCACGCAACCACCCTTAATGCACCCAAGCAGCCAACAACAACTGCAACCGCAACAGCTCGCCGCGCCGTTGGACCCGTGGGCGTTGAGCATGGCGCCGCCGCAGCAGCGCCTCAGGAGCCAATCTACGGACACGAGGCCCGCCCAGCGCGATCTCATCACCTGGTAACTGTTGGTTGCACTGCGACGAATTCTTGAATCCAATTGGACTAAAGTAAAAAGACAATGTACAAACACAACCACATATAGGTTAGATATGATTGATCAGGAAACACACTGTGCTAGAGCGGCTTAAAATAAAGTAACATGTTGGTGGTCTATACAAAGGGCGCTGTCGTGGTCGGTGGTGCACGCTCACAAGTGTTCCTTGAAGTCCTTCCCGCTCTCGTCGCTGGCCTCGTCGAGCGAGTTGAGGTTGTCGCCGCCCATCATGGCCGTGCTGCTGACGTCGCCATACGGCGACACGGCCGCCGTTGTGGTCGTGGTCGTCGACGCCTCCAGCAGCCCAGCCTCGTGTGACACTCCACCGACGCCGCGCAGGGCGTCGAGTCCGTCGTTCTTGCGGCTCATGCGTCGCCTCTTTCGGTTCTTCTTCTTCTTCTTGGCCGCCTTGCCCGCGGCCGCGGCCTCCATCTCGTCCAGCTCGAAGTCAGCCACGTGGTCCGACCGCAACTCGTAGTCGTCCCTCTTCTGCGCACACGACATGGAAACATCGCGCGCGCGCACACACACACGTTAGCGCGCGTTTCGTGTCGTGTCGTGTGCGGTGTGTGCGGTGTGTGTCGTGCCTTTTTCATGAGCGAAGGGACGTCTTCCTCTTCGGGGTCGGACTCGACGGTCGATTCCTCGCTGTCGTCGCCCAGCTCGGCCGACAGCCGCGCCTCGATCTCTTGGAAGGACGGTCTGGCCACACAACACAACACACACAACGAGTGAGACATCTGTCGTGTCGTGTCGTGTCGTGCTGCGTGTCGTGTCGTGTACCGCTTCTCGGGCTGTTGCTTCCAGCAGTCCTTCATGAGACGTTTGAAGAACGGATCGCAGTTCTTTGGAATCTTGAGCGTCCACCCCCTTCACGCGCGCCCCGCATTGCTTAGCAACGACACGACACACGACACGACACACATCACACAAGACGCGTACTTGCGACCGACACCAATGGCGATGTCCAGAAGCGCGACATTCTGCCACGGCTCGTTCTGTGTCACCATCTCCCACACCTGCGACACGACACGAACACGCACACGACACACGCGATCAGATGGTGATGTCCATCGTCATCGGGGGGGGAGGGGGTTGCGTACCAATACACCAAACGACCAGGAATCGCTCTTTTCACTGTAAATGCGTTTGGTGATGGCTTCGGGCGCCATCCATTTCTAGGTAAAGTTCACCAAATTAAAGATGTTAATGTTAGAAAACGAAGAAATATATTCGATAATGTCGAGGAATAAATAGAAAAAGTGTATGTAAATGTAAATATAATAGATATATAGATATATAAAATGTTTGCAGGGCGTACCACAGGGCCGACGTTGGACTTGGTGGTGGCGTAGGACTCCTCCGTGTCCTGCCGCAGCCGCGAGAGTCCGAAATCGGTCACGCGCACCGTCGTGTCCTGGTCCACGCACACATCGATGAGCACAGACAACACACGCACACGACACGCGCACACACTTCCGCAACACGCGCATGACACGACACGCGCGAGGCACGACACGAGGCTCATACCTTGGCGACGAGCATGTTGCGTGCGCTGATATCGCGGTGGATGACGTGTTCGGAGTGGAGGTGCAGAATGCCGCGCGCGGCGTCGCGCAACATCTTGATCAACATCTCGCGCGTCACCTGTTGGCGCAGGGAAACAACATCAACAACACCTCAACACAACCACCCGACACGACACGACACGACACACACACACACATGACACACACAGCACGCGCGCGCATGCGTACCGGTTTGCGGAGGTCCGTCTTCTTGGCAATGAACAAATCATACATCGACCCGTAGGGACAGTATTCGGTGACGAGCGCGAAGTAGTCGCCCTTGGTGACCGCGCCCACAAACGAGATCACCTGCACGCAGCATTCGACACACGACACGACCAGCCGCACGACACACGCGACACAGAAGACACACGCATTGAGGCGGGTGCGCTCTGAAACGACAAAAGAGAGAGAAAGAAGAGGCCGCGGCGCATTACGTTCGGGTGGTTGCCCAGCAACTCCATCAGGCACGCCTGGGATCACACGTCACACCGCACGCATGAGCACTCGCACGTCGTGTGTCGTGTGTGTCGGGGTGGAGTACCTCTTGACGGATGTTTTCGATGGTGTCGGCGGTCATCATGGCCAGCTGGAAGTCGGTGCACACCTTCACCGCCACCGTAGCTCCGCGCCACTTCCCTTTGTACACTTTGCCGAACGCTGTCGCGTCGTGTGTGTCGTGTGCGGCGGTGAGTTGGGGCGGACGGCTCGGAGCTAAAACAAAACACAAGAACACGTGTGGACGATATATAGATGTAAAGATAAAGAGATATACCTCCGGCGCCGAGAAGTTCCATGAGATCTAGTTCGCTCCAATCAATTTCGCGATACCTGGTCGTCAGGTTGTTGCGATGGCTCTCTTGCTGCTCTCGTGCGACATGACACGACACGACACGACCAACGACACGACACGAGGAGCTTGTGAGCGGCTTCGGTTGAGGGAGAGGGCTACGGTGCGATGGGGAGTGGTGTGGCGGCGGTGGTGGTGTTGGCGGACGTACGTCTTCGCGGATGTAGGTGATCTGCTTGTCCTTCCAGCGGCGGTAGGCCAGGTACACGACCATGCTCGCCAGCAGCAAGACCAGCAGCAAGAACAAGAAACCTGTGTCGCACACGCACACACGCGCACAAGACACGACAAGACGCACACGACAAGGCACGACAAGACGCGCACCACGTCATTTCGTCAGCGCCAGGCGTGTGCCGTTGAGAGCGTGTGTGTCGTGTCGAGTGTGGTCGTACCCAACAGGCCGCCCAATATGCCTCCGATCAGGGCGCCGGCGGCCGACGAGTCCGTCGCCGTCCCGTTCACCGCCGGAGCTAAAATTAAAAATTTTTAAAAAACAGTTAATTCCATAAATAAATAAATAAATAGCAAAAATGCAAGAAATGCGAGAGTGGGGCGTACAGGGAGTGACGCCGTTGCAGAGGGTCGAATTGTCGTTGGTGTTGCACACGATCAAGCCCGACTGCGTGGTGATGAACGGCGCCGCATTTCCTGGTATTTATGGACAAATTAGAAAGATAAGAAATGAAGCATGGCCTGCTGGGGCGCGATGCCACCACCGTGTGGAGCGTACCCTCGCGATAGAGCCTGCATCTCCCCTGCGTGATCGGCACGTCCCAACCGACTGCGAAGAGTTGAAACATGTCAGCAATTTGGGCGGTGTGTGTGTGTGTGTGCGTGTGCGTGTGCGGGTGTGTTGTGCGTGTTCGGTGCTACGTACTGCCTTGGCACACGCCAATCGTCGAGTAAGCGCCCTATCGTGTGTAGTGTGTTGTGTGGAATGTGAGCTTTTAAGGGCGCCAGCAGGAATCTAAGGAAGGCGGAGATGCTTGCCTGGTTGTAGGGATCCGGCAGGTCCATGGTGAGGTATTGGAATTCCATGCGCCCGTTCTCGTAGAGCTTCGCCTGGAACGTCCGATTCGTCTTCGGATCTATGAACGGCGTCACCTGGTACCTGCGTGTGCACACACGTGTGCTGTCAGACAAACACACCGTGTGTCGTGCCGTGTCGTGTGTGTCATGTCGTGTGTGTGGTACCAGGTGATGACGAAGCGTCGATTGCCGGCCTCGCCGGAGGTGGTGTAGTAGAGCTTGACGGGGTTGTTGACGTTGATGTTCTGCGCCCACAGCACGGAGATGCCGTTGGGGTGGGGCATGCCGGGCGACGTGAGCGGATCCGAGTCGCACAGCTGGTCCTGCGCGTAGAACAGCAGCACACCGTTCTTGTCGACGTTCACCTTGCTGCGGTGTACGTCGCGTCGGGCGTGAGTGTCATGTCATGTCGACCGCACACGCACGCGCGCGCAGCAGGACACGCGTATAGATGTATATATTGGGGTGAATGTGAGGGCGTACTCGTAGGCGGTGCCGAAGTAGGTAAAGTTGAACCCAATTTGGATGGCCACGCTGTTCGTCTGTGTGCTCGCGATCTGTCGCCCAGCGGACATCAGCCACACACGCACACGCGCACACGACACACTCTACCGCACACGCGCGCACACGACACACACTACAGCACACGCGCACACGCACGACACATCACCGCACACGCGCACACGGTACCTGGGTGGAGGAGTGTCCGTTGAGGATGGGGTCGGCCCAGCTGAAGGAGGTGCGTCGAAAGGTGTAGTCGACCGTCGAGGTGGCCGGCGCGCTTGACAAATCGATCTTCGAAGGCACGCACCAGTTACACGCATCTGCAAATGCAAAAAAAAGTTAATATTAAAATAAATAAATAAACAATATGAAGTACAATAACCAAATTAATAAGACCAATTTATATTTATATTTAATATAGAGTAAAATAAATGATTGTACCGGTGGAGGGGCTGCAATTTTGGGGGATCCAATAGGCGGACGAGGCCTGGTTGTTTTGTACAGAGGGCAGCGTGGTCGGCGGCCGTTGATCGCCGAGACCCGTGGGTCCGAAGATCGTGGCGCCCCACCTGCCCATCAATGCCGTTGACCGATCGGTGAGCACACATAAAACCACAGACACACGAGACACAACACGACACACACCACGACACAGAGAGACGCACCCGTTGCCCGATCGATCGGCGATGGAGAGGCCCGACCCGGCCTCGAAGTCCCACGCGCCCAACAGGTTCGGCGTCCCTGGTGCCAACCAACGCTCGGTCAGTGCACATGGACATTGCGTGTGCGGTGTGTGTGCGGTATGTGCAGTATGTGTCGCGTGTTGCGTCGTGTGCGGAGGTCCACACTAAATGGGTACCTTCAGCGTAGGAGACCGGCAGGTCGTAGTTTGTAGCGACCTCAGCGTCCGTCCAGGCGCGATTCCAGATGCGAATCCCGTCCAATTCTCCATTGAAGCCGAAATCTTGGTCATCGTCTGTGTGTCGTGAGTTGTGTGTGTCGTGTCGTGTCGTGTGCGCATTGGTTAGTTTGCAATCGGTTGGCGTGAGGCAGTAGAGCGTACCCAAGTAACGACCGAAATAGAGAAGGTTTTGCGGTGAGTACACCGTGGGATTGTTTCTGTCAAGCGCGTTTTCTAGTCAGACAACGACGAAGAAGAAATGGAGAAGGAAGAGAAGAGAGTCAGGGTACCGTTGCTTCTGCATGACGAGCTTGCCGTTGAGGAAGACCTTGTGCATGTAGGTCGCGTTCAGGGTGCCCACCAGATACGACCACTTGTTGCGCGGCAGCCAGAATCGCATCTCTGCGAGAGCAGACACGGAGCGCGCCGCGTTAAACAGCACCGCGTACGCACACGACACCACCGCACACGCACACAATACCACCGCACACAACATGATTCACGTGGAAAGACGTACGGTTGGGAGCCTGGGAGCTGGATGGGGAGGCGACCCACCAATTCACGCCGCACGCATCATAGTAGAATCCGTAACCCGATTGGAAGCTCCCTGCACCCCGCGCCGCACGACACACACGACACACAAATGAGCTATCACAGCGGCGATCGAGCGTACTATAGCGAATGGTGGTGGTGGTGGTGGTGGTGGTGGTGGTGGTGGTGGTGGTGGTGGTGGTGGTGGTGGTGGTGGTGGTGGTGGGGGTTACCAGTGTTCCACAGGGTGGTGACGATGCCGTCGTAGTTGTAGTGGGTGGCGAAGTAGGGCTTGACCCACACCTCGACCGTGTACTCGGTCGCTCTGCACGCTTGAAGGTGAGTCACCGCACACACGCACTGCAATGACACACACGCGCACGCACCGAAACGGGAATGGTAGATCTGTGTCTCCGTTGCGCGGACCGACACGAGCGCCTGCGTGTGTCGTGTGGAGTGAGCGCGATCGGTTCAAAGAAAAATAGCCATAATTATTATCATTTATAAATCATTTAAAAGATTGATCGTATCAGGGCACGCACCGATGACTTGCTGAGAGGAGACGTTGAATCGAAAGTCGGCTCCGTAGAATTGATAGGAATACCCTACGTTTGAGTAGGACGAAAGAAGTCACAAGTCAAGATCAGATCAGAGATCAGCACCTTCTACTTGAATTTTTGTGATCAAAACAAAAAATCTGGCATGAATTGAAAGAGGGAAGGGGCGAGTTACCCGTTGTGCAGGTCTGTGATCTGGATAGAGAGGGCAAAGAAAGAAGGAAGAGAAGCGAGAGGAGGATGGATGAAAACCGCAGGAAGTGCGATGATGATGAAGGAGCCCCGCCCGCACTCGGGCCTAGGATGATCATCATCTTTCTTCGTTCTTCGTTCTTTCGTCGCTTTCGCTCTTGATGGCGTTAGACTCCTTCACAGCCTTTGCACTCGATCTTTTTTTTTCTATTGCACGTGGTGCGGCCGAGCTCGACCACGTAAATGGTGAACTGCAGATAAGAAGCACTCTATCTGCCCACAGGAGAAAAAAGAACTCTATTTTTCCAGGCTTCTCGTCTTTGTTGTGAGTGTGTGCTTCAAGAGCACCTGCTGTACAGTGCACAATCGCCGCTGCCTCCTCAAGGCCTCTCTCCCGAAGTCACAGCCGGAGACCAAGCTCCCCGCCATCCGCGGAAGCTTGACCGGGACATGTCCATCTCCGTCACATCCCTGTCGCTGGTCTGTCTCCGTCTTCGGTCGACAACAAATTCAGAAAAGTTTGAAGTATAAAATGTGAAAAAATAGAGGCAAAAGTACAGCGAAACGAAAACAACTCGGGGGTTGCTCACAGTTCGTCTCGCCTCGGCTCGAACTCCACCGCTTCGGCCTGCGCGTTGATGATCAGCCGGCCGTAGAACCTGTCGTGGCAGCCCCACGAACGTGAGCCCAAGATATGAAGAAGCCGATACCTTAATAGCGATGATGGTGAGAGAGGTTTACGTACTTGACGGAGGCGATGACGTCGGAGACGGCGACGCGCTCGTTGACGCCGTGGATGCGGGCCAGGTCGTCGTCGCCCAGCACGTATGGGATGAACCGGTACACGTTGTCCGTCAGCGCGTGGTAGTACCGCCCGTCCGTCGCTCCCATCGCTGCACACAACGTACGACACACGTGTGAGAGACGCACGACACACACGACACACACGACACACACGACACACGACACGCATGGGGGGGGGCAATACTGAGGTAAGGCGCGACGACGACTTCAGGGAAGAGCTGGTGGATTGTCGACTGGACGACGTGCCACCCGAGCGAGTCGGTCGGCGAGACGGGCGACGGCAGGTTGGTGTGGTCCCCCAGCACAGAGACCTCCACTCGCGGATCGTTCACCGTCTGCGTTGCGTGTGTGCGATGTGTGTCGTGTCGTGTGTCGTGTCGTGTGTCGTGTCGTGTCGAGTCAGCGGGGTGTCGTGTCGTGCGGTGATGGAGGGACGCGCACCCGGTTGATGTAGGCGACGCAATCGGCGGGGGTCTCACCGGGCAGGATCCGGAAGTTGATGGTGGCCGTTGCCTTCTTGGGCAGCACGTTATCCTTCACTCCTGCCTGTATGTGTATGTGTGTGTGTGTGTGTGTGTGTGTGTGTGTGTGGTGTGTTGCAGCTCCGTGCGTATCGTGTGTGTCGCGTGTGTCTTCGTGCGTGCGTGGGTTCGGGTACGTTGAAACGGGTGAGGGCCGACGAGGTGCGGATGGAGGACGCCGTAGCGCCGCGGTCGAGTGCGCGTGTGACGACGGGCGAGAAGAGCCACAGGTTGGACAGCACCACTCGCTCGGCCAGCGAGTCCACGTCGGGCGCCAGAAATTCAAGCATTTCCTGATCGGGTCCATCAACGCTCAGCGCAATAACATCACACGACGCGACACACACCACCGCACACACAAACACACGGCACTCGCATTGCCGCACGCGCACACACGATACCTTGACGGCACCGGAGATGGAGGCGGGCATGGGGTTGTTGTAGAGCTTGGCGACGGCCTGGGCCAGGATGCCGATCGGGTTCTCGGCAGTGGGCATCGACGAGTGGCCGCCCGGTCCGTGTGCCACCAACTCGGCGCTCAAGTAGCCCTGCGTGCCCACATGTGTCAGCGCTTGGCCGTGTGCCGTGTGTGCCGTGTGTGTCGTGTCGTGTGTGTGTCGTGTGTGTATCGTGTGCGTCAGTGCGTACCTTCTCGGCAATGCCAACGAGCGCCACGTTCTTGGAGACCTGCTTCAGGATGCCGCTCGTCATAGACCCACCTGAGACTCCATAGTTCAGTTGACATAGACGCACGTGTTGTGTCATTGGTCGGTGTCGTGTGCGGTGCGTCGTGTCGTGTCGTGTGCGGTGCGTCGTGCCTTCGTCGAGCACAAACTCGAGGGTGAGGTTGCGCTGGCGGAAGTGTTGGACGATCTTGAGCGCGCCGTTGAGTCCGCTCACCTCCTCGTCGTGACCGAACGCGAGGTAGAGCGTGCGCCGGGGCTCGAAGCCCGACGCGATCAGCGCCTCGACGGCCTCGAGGATGCCCACCACGCCCACCTTGTCGTCCAGCGTGCCGCGGCCCCAAACGAACCCGTCGGCCACGTCACCCGAGAACGGCGGGTGGAGCCACTCGGCCTCAGTCTCGGGGTCCACCGGCACCACATCTATATATGCGTGTGTGTCGACACATCAACACAGTTAACACGTACGACCCACATGGCACACAACGACACGACACACGACACACGACGACACACAACGACACACAACTACACGCACCCATGTGCGAAGCGAGTAGGAAGGGTTTGAGGCGCCTGTCGCGTCCGGGCCACTCGAGGATCAGACTGTGGCAGTCCAGCTTCGTCCTGGGCCGGCGTGAAAAAACAGGCAGCGTTGTCAGAATACCAACTCTACGCAAAGAAGAAGAAGAAGAAGAGCACCTGCGCAGGGTGGCGAAGACGCGGGTGTAGGTGCGCTCGAGCCACGCCAGCAGCCGGTCGAACTCCCTCTCCGCGTCTGCCCTCGCCTCTCGCTCCTCCTCGCTGTCTACACTCTCACCGAATAAAATGGTGTAAATTTTAAAAGGATTAAAAATCAAGCACACACTTTAAAAATAACAACAAATAAGGGTCTAATAAAAATTAAAAAAATTTATAAAAATAAAGAATAATATTGCTGGGGGGGGGTGCCTGCGTAGTTGCTTTCGTGGGAGATGGTGCGGAAGCGGACGCTCTCGGCCAGCCGCTCGACCGCAGGGTTGGGCTCGCCGCGCGGCAGCTGCCGCTCGAAGGCCGCCACCGCCTCGTCTGCGGCAGCGGCGTTGGCCGACCTCGACGACGATGAGACGACGTGTCCGGCCTCCGGGTGCTGGCGCGACGCCAAGCGGAGGGTGTGCCACCACAGCCCGCCACCGAGGACCACCAGCAGCGAGGCCACGGCCACCAACAGACCCGCCACCAACAGCCCACAACCAGGCCCACCGCTCTCGCTGCGTCTTCTCCCTGCCATCGCCTCAAGACTGAATTCTTAGCTCCGACACCACTTGGCTCACTTTGGCAAATGTTTAAAAAAACAAAGGAGAAAATAAAAAGAAAATCTTGGAGTGGATTTGATTTAATCACAACCCCCAAGGCTTTGGAAGGATGTTGCGTGGCGGACTGTTTGGGCGAGCGGCTCCCTTCGGGCAGCGGGCGGGATGGAAGCGTGGCATGGAGGAGTTCATTGATAATGCCACGAAGCCCGGCGAGTATCCCATCGCTGGTTCGTAGAATTTTGCCATTGCCGCCAATCGCAGCACAATTATTGAATTTTGCTTCAATGCATGCGCTGCAGGTCGCGCGTGGAAGGCCAGCGAGCTGCGACTCAAATCGTTCGAGGATCTGCACAAGCTCTGGTTTGTGCTTCAGAAGGTACCTTTCATACGCCGCGCCACGAATTTGTCGCCATTGAAGGCGCTACGCGGACCATCATTTTGCTCTATCTATCTATGCACATTGGACCTTCCTCTACCTTTGCCTCACGTCTGTGGTTGCCCGGTGCAGGAGCGGAATCTGTTGCTGACGGAGAAGATGCTCGCCAAGTCCGAAGGCAAGCAGATGAAGGCCAAGGGCCGAAGGGTCAAGGTGCGTGCGCGCTCCGCCTATCCACTCCACCAAGTTAGAAGCTTGCTCATCAGCCTTCTCTATCGCGTCCCCTACGCTGTGCGTGTCGTGTCGTGTGTGCATTTGGCTGATGCGATGACACCAGGTTCGTCAGTCCATGGCGCGCATCAAGCTCGTGCTGGGCGAGCGACAACACATCTACAAGACCTTCAAGCGCGAACAGATCCTCGCTCTGGTACGCCGTCCCTCCGTATCGTGTCGCGTGTTGCAACGCATTGCGTGTGCCACCCTGACGTGTGCGTGTGCGTGTGCGTGCGGCACCACAGGAGCAGGATCGTCTCGAGGAAGTGCGTGGGCGCCAGCTGGCCTGGGCCGAGCAGCTCAAGAGCCAGAACGACAAGCTGGCCAACGTCAAGCTGCCCAAGCCCCAGAAGGAAGCCGCCTCCATCAAATAAGTCTCTGAGCCCGAAACAAACGTTCGTCGCGCCGTGTGCACCAGCCTTGCGTGTGCCGGCAGTCAGCTCGTGTGCTTCACACTTTCACACCAACCAATGGACGAACATATTTTCTATTTAATGTTGGTTTGGTTGTCCACGCGAGAACGTGAGTGTTTGATTTACTTTGAGTTGGAAAAGAAGAGCAAAAACGTGACCACTACTGTCATTATTATAATAATAATTATTGTAATTAGCTGTAATACACTTTGCCCTGCTGCTGTGTTGTGTCGGTGGAGACTACTGCTGGGCAGCGGCGGCGGTCGGTGAGGAGAGGAGGGCGGCGATGGCGTCGAGGAGGCAGCGCACGTCGGAATCGGCCACGCCCAGGCACTCGCGCAGCTCCGGCTCGTCGAGCGAGAGCAGCACCTCCCCGTCGATGTCGTTTTCCTGCGTGTGTGCGTGTGCCGTGCGTGTGCCATGGTGTTTACTGTGAGGAGAAACAAAGAAAAGGAGCGAAAGAGAGTGTGTGGATTGCTTCGTACGAAGAAGATCTGCTTGTAGCGGGGCATGCCGCATCGCTCGAGCCACAACTGCACCCCCCGCTCGGTCCACTCCGACGGGTCTGTGCGCGTGGCGTGCGTGCGTGCGTGGCGTGCGTGTGCGGTCGACAGTTAGTGAGCGGAGGAGATCCCTCAGTCGTCCGGGCGGTGGTGAGGCGTACTGGCGAGGTATGATCGAATGAAATGTACCGACGGAGACAACAGCGCTTCGTCTTCCAACGGATTTCCTGCATCCGCAGCGTGTGTCATGTATGCGTAAGGCAACGCACACGACGCACACGGCACACCGCACACGGCACACCGCACACGGTCAACGGCACACGGCACGCGCACGCGCACCATTGAGGTTGAGTTCGTGGAGGAAGTGCATGTGGCCGACCGAGGGCGGCAGCGACGGCAGCTCGTTGTTGTGAAGGTCAAGCACGCGCAGGTTCGGCAGCCGCTCGCCAATCGCCGCGTCCAGCTCCACCAACCTGTTGTTGTCCACCCGCAACTCCTGCTCGCGCGCTCACGTGTCAGCCCCGCACACATCATCGCACACACGACACACGACTCACGACTCACGACACACACGCACCTCGAGTTGGGGCATGTCGTAGACGAAGGCGGGCAGGTGGGTGAAGTGGTTGTGCGAAAGGACGAGGCACCGGACGCCGCCCAGCCCGGCCTTGCGATCCTCGGGCGACACCAGACACGACAGCGTGGCCGTCGTCAGGCTCTTGTGCGACAGCACGAGCCGCTCCCCTGCAATACAACACACGCCGCACACGCCGCACATACCGCGCATACCGCACACACCGCACACACGGGTCAGAACACGAAGGGCGCGATGTGAGGGCGGCGTCGGCGGCGGCGGGGGGTACCGGCGCCCTTGGCGAGGGAGTCGACGAAGATGGAGGCCTCCTTCTGCTGCGGCGGGCTGGCGACGGCGATGACGGCCTCGTCGAACACGCGCCCCACCTGTGCCGCGTCGTGAAAGTCCGACAGCTCAAAGTACGCCCGGCACTCGTTCGTCTGCGCAAACGCGTAGCCTGCACCGCACACACGCCGCGCATGACACACATCGCACACGACACACGACACACCGCACGCGCGGGTGAGTGGGCGTGAGTGGGCGTGAGAGGGGGGGTGAGGGTGCCTTGGGGGAGGTCCTGGGGGATGCTGACTGGGGCGACGCCGCGGTGGGCCGCCTGGGTTCCCACGAGGACGATGGGCAGCGCGCCGCCGCTGTGTCCGCACAGCGAACGCACCTTGGGCAGCCACTAGCGACCGCGTCGACGTCAGACACAGCGTGTGCGGTCGTGTAAGGGTGTTGTGTGCGGTGCGTACGTTGGTTAGCGCGCTGTCGAGGGTGGATGGCACCACGACCGAGAACACAACGATCGCCACGTTGATCTTGGACAGCGTGAGCGGATCTGCGGGTAGCACGACACACGACACACACGACACACCGCACATCAACGCCACGCAACACGCGCGCTCAGCGAAAACGCGGGGGTGCGGCGAGGCGTACCGACTTTGTCGGGGTCGTAGGAGACGATCTTGAGGGCCACCGGCCGGTTGTCGAAGGTCAGCTCCATCGTCTTGGTAGTCGACGTGTCCGACCGCACCTGATTGGGTGAAACAAAATAAAAATAAAAAGCAATCCAACAGATTTTTGCTGAATTTTTGATAATAAAATAAATATTATAATTCGAATGCAAAAGATTGGAATGCGACGTACGTGGAATGCGTTCTGGGAGCGGACGTACTCCATGTAGCGGTCGACGAGCCGTGCCTTGAGCTCGTCCGCGTCGGACTGCGCCGCCGCGATCGCGTGGCTCATATCACAGAAGCCCGCCGTCGCGTCGCCCAGCACCAGCACGTTCACCTCCGTCTTGGCTGTCGACACGACACACGACACACGACACGCACACAACGACACGTAAGCGAGTGTGTTGCGTGTGCTGCGTGTGCCACGTGCGTGTGCGCTGTGAGACGACGAACGTACGTTCTTCCTCTTCGCTGAAGTCGCCGAAGCCCTGGAAGTTCTTGAGGTCCTTGAGATCACGCACCGGTACCGCCAGACTCTTGCGCTTGAGCATCTTGATCGCACGCATCGCCTTGGAACCTGTACACGACACGACACGACACGACACGACACGACACGACACGACACGACACGACACGACACGACACGACACGACACGACACGACACGACACGACACGACACGACACGACACGACACGACACGACACGACACGACCAACGACACGACACGCGCATCGCAGACGAAGCCAAGGCCGATCCAGGTACCAACCGACACGACACGACACGACACGACCAACGACACGACCAACGACACGACGACACGCGCACGCACGCACGCATGCACGCACGACAAGACACGACACAGGTGGTGTCAATCGCAATGCCTCGAGCGGCGGCGGCGGCGGCGGGCGCGCGACGAGAGGGCGACGTACCGCTTCTGTCCTTGATGTCGGTTTCATCGTAGGACGTGCGCGCCTGCTGAATCTGTGTGTATGGAATGTGTGTGGAATGCGTGAGGAATGCGCAATGTGAGGAATGTGCGCCGTCAAACGGCACATGGTGGGACCATCTCTGCACACGTACCGCCATGTTCGAGGCGGTGGGGCGAGACGGCGACGCCAGTCCTGTGTTTGCGCGCGTCCGGGCCGCCTGTTCGGGCGGCGGTGGAGCCACCACCGCGCTCTTACTCACATCCTTTTGCGCCGACCACGACACACACACACGACACACGACGACACACAACGCGCAAAATCAGT